ATTTCCTCATCTATAAAATGGGGACAATCATAGTACTGTTCCTCCTATTTCATGGAATTATTGTTTGGCCTAGGTAAGTTAATACACCTGAAGTGTATTAGAACAAGACTTACAGCATAGTCAGTAATACATGTTAGCTATTTTTTTGATAGTATAGGACTAGATAATAGACAGCCTTGGGAATCAGGTTAGGGGAGCTTAAATTGAAATCAGTAGGCACCACTGCACAGGGATGTGCTATGAAGTGGCTGTTGAAAGAGACAAGTCTGTCAGAAGCAGGGGTGCAGACTAGATTGGGAGGAATCTGGGGCAGAGAGGCAGACCCATTGGCCATTAGGTTTTTCAGACTTTATTGTCTCTGCAGGGAAAGTTCTGTCATTCTAAAGGTTCCCCATTCTTTGGTGCCCTTCCTGATGCCACATCAGATGACTGATTAGCGGAACCTTAAGTTCTGACTTGCGTTTTCAATTGTGCCTCACCCTCTCACACAGGTCACATCTACCTCAACTGGTTTGTCCTCTCGTGGCTGCCCCTGACTTGGTCTCCATGCGAGGGAGCACAGCCCCTGCACTCCCACGCTCTCAGAGTCTCCCTTGCGTCCTGATGGCCTGTTAATGGTCTTTGCCTGAGCTTTGACTTGCCTTTAATTCTCCCCAGAATGTTTAGATTTGCAAAAACTCTTGAGTTAATATTTTCCGGTCTGCTTAGAACTGCTTTCTGATTCACTGTTTGCTTGTCTTTCTCAGCTGCCAGAGAGACTGGATATCTGCTGGAATAATAAGATGCTGAGAACTGCTGGCTTGTGCAGCTCTGGCCTGTTTCATTGCCCGAGGGAGCGTTACACTAAGATTGAGATTTCTCTGAAAGTCTGCGATTCTGCAGGTGATGGCAGCAGCATGGCAGCTTTCCCTCTGGGCTCTTTTCTTCTGACACAGTGCCTATTAAGTTATTTTTAGGTGCTGATATTCTCTGACATCCTGTGTCACAGCCTTACCTGTCATTCCAGGGTGGACAGGCCTACTGTGTGTTGCTTAGAGGACATTATTATTGGATGTCTCACCATCCTTGAGAGTCCCACTTGTCCATCTTTCTAGTAAGCCTAGCTTTCTCTCTGCAGCTTCCTGTTGGCAGCAGCAGCATCTTCATTCTCCCTGTAACTGAGGGTCAAGGTTCCCTACATCTAGCCGATCACCAGATCTTCATAATGACTCTCCTGTTATTCCTTCTCTATCTTTGCCTCTGCCCAGGTATGGGCCCTCATCACCTCACTCTTCTCTCTGCTAAGAAACCTGGGGCTTGCCAGTGCCTGGAGCCTGGCTTTCAAGGCTGTCGTTGTCTTGGCTCCCACTGCTCCACCACTAGCCTGTGCTCCAGCAAGGCTGGTTTCCCACTGGCTTTCAGAATGGACCACAGGCTTTCCTGGCCTCAATCTTTGCTTACATTTTTCACACCTAGAATGGCTTTTCTAATTTTGCAAATCCAGTCAGTTGTTAAGGGCCCAGCTCAGATCCCAGTTTCTCCATAGTGCTTCTCCTGACCAAATCGCACAGCCCAGGTGATTGTTCCCCACCTTGTCCACCTATGTTCCTGGAGGGCGGAAACCAGGTCTTGGCCAGGTGTATTTCGGGCAGTGTCCCACAGAAAGATGAGCAGGCTGGAGCTGCTCCGAAAGATTCACCACTCAAGGCTCTGCCATTTATCATATTGGGTTGAAGTGGATAGAAATTTCCCTTTCAGAATCCTGGAAAAATAACACTCATGCTCACCTGCATATGTTTATATAAGGTGGCGTTTTGTGTGGTGGGGTTGAGAGTCCAGGGCTGCTTGGGTAGTGACCAGAAGGGAATCGGTTTAAGTGCTCATGGTTTCTTTTTATTCCTTTTCCAAGACCGAATCCGGGATACTTTGATACATGAGCTATGCCACGCAGCCTCCTGGCTGCTTGATGGCATCCGTGATTCTCATGGCCACGCATGGAGATATTATGCCAGAAAATGTAATAAGGTGCACCCAGAGCTGCCCTTAGTCACCCGTTGCCATAACTACAAGATTAACTACAAGATTTATTATGAGTGTGCTCAATGCAAAACCAGGTAAGATCCTTCTCCTCAGACTTTTTCCAATCATGTTTTTACTAAGGCCTCCAAGTGGCTCTTCAGTGATTACATTAGTAAGTACATGGCTGTCTGACTTGAGGAGTAAAACCTCTTTACTCCTTTCTGTGTCCTCTTTTCTCCAATCTCCCCTACTTTGAGCCAGCCTGACCACTGCTGCTGCTTGGTGCCCACTCTCTGAGAATCCCCAGAAAATCTGGCTTTGGGCCTAAGGCCAGCACAGAGAAGAGGCTGAGTTACAGTGACTAACCCTTTGTTGTGTGGTATATCTTTCCTTCTTAGGGTTGGCCGCTACACCAGATCGTTGGACGTTGTGCGCTTTGTCTGTGCTGAATGCAAGGGACCTCTGGTCCTGCTGCCGTTAACTCGGAAAGATGGGACCCCCATAAAGCCCCATGTGAGACCCTTTGCCAAATACGTGAAGCTGCATTACAGATTAGTTAGGGAGCAGACGGAAGGCATCACCCATGGGGATGTGATGAGAACGCTCAGCAAGGATTACTTTATCTGTAAAGAAAAGAACAAACTTTGAGGTTATGTGAGAGGGTATCTGTGTGAGCTGAGTCCTCTACTGTGAAGAAGTCTTAGAAAAATATCTTTATTTCTATGAAGTTATGGATAATAGAATTTAAATCCTTTTACTAAAGCTTTTATTGTTGATAATTATTCTTTAACCAAAGATTATATTACTCAGCACTTTGTGCCCTTGACAGTGCTCAGAAGCCCTTTGGGCCCACCTTATGTCTTACTTACACTCCAGAGTTGTAACGTGTAGAATGAAATGCAAAAGCAAAATACATTTTTGAGAGTGGCCAGCAGAGATAATGTGAGTAATGCTGGAAAGGGAACACATTTTAAAGGCAGCAAGGACTGCTGGCAGATGTAACCTACCTAGAAATAAAAAGCATGTTTCATGAATTTAGTTTCTCTTGCCAATTGTTCACAAAATAAAAATAAATAAAATGTTTTCTGCAATAAATAAAATGTTTTCTGCAATTCACTTGTTAGCAAAGCCTGTTCATTGCCAACCTGTGCTGAGAGCAGACCAAGCCCCTGGATACCTGAAGCTCTCCTGGATGTGCTCTGGGTTTTTCTCTGATTCTTGTGACTGCTCACAAGTATGTCAGCAGCCTCCCCACATCTGGGAGCTATCTGGGATGTAGATGGAACCAATGTTGTATTTGTTCCATATTGCTGCTATAACAAATTACCACAAGCTTAGTGACATTGTTATCTCACCACTCTGTATGTCAGAAGTGTGGCACAGACCTCACTGAACTGTAATTCATGTGTGGGCGGGGCTTCATTTCTTTCTGGAGGCTCTGGGAACCATTTCCTTGTCTTTTTCCAGCTTCTGGAGGCTGTTGCAATCCCGACTTTAAGTCTTCCTCCGACTTTAAGTCTTTAAAGCTGGCAATGTCTGCTTTTCTGACTCCCCTTTTGCCTCCCTCTTTCACTTTTAAGGACCCAGGTGATGACAGTGGCCCCAACTGGATAATCCAGGAGAAGCTTATTTTAAGGCCAACTGATTAACAGTCTCAGTTCCCTTTGCCACGTAAGGTAACACATTCCAAAATTCTGGGGATTGGAGTGTGGCCATCTCTGGGGACTCATTATTCAGCCTGCCACACACATCTTTACTAGTCTGGCGTCACTGTTCCTGTTTAGAGGCTGCATGTGCTCTGTCAATTTCCCTCCTTCCTGCATTCGGCAGGTACTTAGTGTTCTTTCCGTGGCCATAGACGGAAGCCTAGCCACCGGTCTAGATGGGATTGGGTGTGTACAAAGCATGGCATGAGCTTCCCCAGCTGTATCCTTCAGTCCCTTCTCTCCAGTTCCACCTCCAGCCATATCTGTGGTTTCAGTAAATGCCCTGCTGGCCTGTGAAACTGGATCGTGACACACTGGGGATTTAGGGGGAGCTGACTGGTGGTTCTGCCCCTACAAAGGGAGGGTTCTGGCCTCTCCCTTAACTCAGTAACCCCATCAGCCGCCATTTTGGGGAGCCCTGGTCATTTCTCCCATTCACTTCCGCCCTAGCTATAGCCGTGAGACAAAGCTCCTCACAGCCCACCCATGCCTCCAGATGGCCTTTGTGCTAATGACTGTCAGCTAATCATCTGATCACATTGCTTGTCTTCCATCCCACTGCCATTTCCCAAGGAAAAGCATGGCTCACCTGACTAACCATCACAGCCTTCTCCATTGGTCTCTAGAATACCATCGCCTGACCCCAAACTAACTTGGTCTTATTTTCAACCCTTCTCCTACCTGAATCCTTAACTCTAGCCAGACGAGACCACTTATAATTCCTCCAATAAGCACTGCTGTTTTTAGCCTCCCCAGCTTTCCTTCGGCCCTCCCTTCCTGGAAATTCCCTTTTTCCTTCTTGTCCTGGGAAATACTACTTGCCCTTTAAGGTCTGCTCATTTCTGTCTTCATGAAGCCATCCCAAATGGCTCCAGCCACAGTGCTTTGAGCCCAAGGTTCACTGTGTGTGCCACACGTTTGCCTCATGGCGTAGACTGCTTGGTATTGTTACTTCTCATCACATCTTCCCTACTGGCCTAAGCTTCTGGAGTGCAGGACTATGTCTTACTTATGTCTGAAGGCCCTTTCCCCAAAGTATACCTATACAGTGTCTAGCCAGCCAGTCAACTGCTTATCCTGCACCCATGTACCTAGGTGCTTCCCTGCAAGTGACAGGAGTGCCCAGGAGGACAGAGAGGAGGCCAGACATAAATATGAACAGGCAGCATTGGTTGGCCCAGTCCCAGGGACAGGCAAGGAGAAGCAGGAAGCGCATCCCAGAGCATGGGCAGGATAGGCTGGAATAAGGGCACTACTAGCACACCTTGGTCCTCATTATCTTGTTTATTGAAAAGTTTTAAGCAGAATTTTAGACATAAAAATGAGCAAATAGAGAGGTGTTGGGGACCATAGCCAGTCACTGCTGCGCTGGAGGCCTGGGCTAAGATCCCACAGAGACAGTTTCCACCATGCTTGCTTGCTTCATGCTCTTTGCACATGGGGAAGGCCAAAGTCTAGTTACTGAATTAAGAGGGTGGTTGGGTTCCATGCAGCCAAAGAAAGAAGGGCCTGAAAGCAGCCAACTCTGAATCGGCAGGATAGGGCTTTGTAACTAAGGAGCAGCAGTGTCGAAGTCCCAAGAGCCAGGAGGGGGGCTCCCAGGAAATCCCAGGAGTGTGCATCTGGGGAGCCAGGACCAGGGGAGAGGAAGGGAGAAAGGAACCTGGAATGAGGGGGGAGTCAGGCTGCGTGGCAAAAGGGTCACCTTCAGCCCAGCCTCACAAGCCCGAGTAGGAGGCCTCTGTGGTCTCAGACCAGGATGAATCCCGGCGGGAAGATGGCAGCTGCCTCTGGTGCCCACTCTGGCCAGGGCAGCCCAGGCGCAGAAGTAGCGTCCACATCCGCTCTCGGAACTTGACACCCACGAAGGCATAGAGCAGCGGGTTGAGGCAGCAGTGCATATAGCCCAGGCCTGAGGTGACAGACTTGGCCACGTCCACATGGCTTTCTCGGTCGCAGTTGCGGGCCAAAGCCCCCATGTCCATGAGGATGTCCACCATCACCACCAGGTGGTAGGGGGTCCAGCAGAGGGCAAAGGCCACTACTACCACTACCACCAGCCGCATGGCTCGCAGTCGCCGCTGGCCCCTGGAGACCAGCAGCACAGCTAGGATGCGGGCATAGCAGTAGGCCATGACCATCAGGGGCAGCAGGAAGCCAGCCACCAGCTGCAGTAGGCGCAGTGCCGTGCGGCCCACCTGTGGGAAGTTGTACTGGCAGTGGGTGGCATTGAGGCGTGCGTCACGGTGGGCTGACAGGAAAATGAAGTCAGGGAGGGCAAAGAATAGACATTGCCCCCAGACAGCTACACAAGTGAGGGTCACACGAGCCGGGGGCCCCCGGCGGTAGAGCTGAGTGGCATGCACTATGCTCAGGTACCGATCAAAGCTGATGCAGGCCAGCAGGAGGGCCCCTGCATAGAAATTGATGTTGAAGAGGGCACCTGCCACTTTGCAGAGCCCAGAGCCGAAAACCCACTGGATCGCAGCGTCCACTGCCCAGAGGGGGAGGGTTAGCACCAGCAGGGCATCAGCCACAGCCAGGTGAAGCAGGAAGGTGTCAGTGCTACTCAGGGCTGCTCGTTGGCTCAGCAGCACTGCCACCACAGCACCATTGCCCAGCAGCCCCAGCACAAAGAGGAGGCCATAGAGGGCTGGCAGGAAGGCCTGGTCAAAGTTCAGGCTGACGTCTTGTGGGCAGGGTGGGGAATCACAGCAGAAATCGCTCTCGTTTTCTCCTCCATAGTCAAAGGAAGAGCTATAGTTTTCCAGGAGATAGGCGGGGTCAGAGCCTAGAAGCTCTAGGCGTTCACTGATCTGTGGAGGGAGGGAGGAGAGGAAGGAACAGACCCTGTAAACAAACTCCTTCAGAGATGTAGTCTGAGGAGCCTTTCTGGGAGCCGTAAGGCAGGCCTTGAGGCCTGGGCCACACCCTGTAATTGTCCCCACCTTTCTTCCAAGGCCACACCTCCTAAACTGCACCTGCCCAGCCTTGGTGCTGATATGTAATTTTCTTTCTCAAAGGCTGATTCTCACTCACCCTTCAGGGCCATCCCTTCAGCCCAGGGATTATGGGCTGGAGGAAATTTCCCCTGTGCCAAGAGCCCTCCCTGCCCCTCTCCCCTCTCTCCTTTCTCTTCCTTCAAGGCTTACTGTTCTCAGTGTCCTGGCCACACGTAATTCTACCACCTTCCTCCCCAGGCACCACCTCACCATCCCCTCTCCCTTCTCGTCACTCCTCAGCCCTTGTCTGGGGACCCCAACTTCCTGCTCCCCATGGGACCTCTCTACAAATCACCGTGCCCCCTATGCATGCTTTCTGCCATTCTTTTCCTCCCTTACACCAAGGACTGCCACCCACTGGGGGCTCCTCCACCAAGCTTTAGCAGAAATACTTCTTCCAGCCTTCTCCCATGAACCACCCCAGAGCTGCAGGCCTCCCCAGTGCCAATTCAGTCCAGCACAGAAGAGCCAAAGTCCCAAGTCAGAGCTGAAGGGAGCCTTGCAAGCTCTCGGGGGTGAGCCCCCACCTCCTGCATTTTGTAGATGAGGCACTAGCCAGAGAGGGGAAGTGACTTGCTGGTGGTCATTCACACTAATCAATGGCCAAGGTGGGTTCTCAATTCCCTGTCCAGTGACCCTTCTACATAACCCCTGCATTCTCTATCTACTCACCCAACCCTCTGGTGGTCTGGCTCATGGGCCAGCCCTGCCGATCCCCTAGTGTCCTGGGCTTTCCACTCAAGAGAGTGGTCTGGCCTGGCTGGGCAGCAGCACTTACCTCAGGGAGCATGGCTGGGTTGGTGCTCCGGCTGCCTGGCGCGTGCTGCCTGCCCCTCTGCTTTGGTGCTTGTGGTTGCGAACCTGCACTGTACAGAGGAAGTAAGGGTTTCATGTGGTTCTTGACAGCTGCCTCTTCCATGGGGTTATCTACACCAGACCTCCCTACACCCAATGGCATACCCCGGGCCAGGGAAGCTGCTCTGGAGGATCTGACACAAGCCTGGGGCCAGAATGTCTGAGTCCTAGGGAAGGGTAGAGGCAGGTCCTCCGAGGGGAGAGGCCTGAAGGAGAAGCAGAGCAGGTGGGGAGTGAAGCCCTGCCTGCCACCAGGGAAAGAACTGCTTCTCTTGTGCTCATTTGTTCTGGGCGGGAGTCAATTTTTGCCTGATTGTAGACTGGCTCGATAAACATGTTAAGTCTATAAAAGGAGATTAAACCTCTTTTAAAAATCAAAATATTTAAAAGAAATTGACTACACTAAATCTAATCCTTTACTATTGCCCCTGCATGCTAATCAATGGGGGCAAGGAAAGGGAATTGCTATGTGCCAGATGTTGCTTTAGGTGCTTTCTCTGTCACCGCCTCATTCCAACCACACAACTCCTTCGTCAGGTGGGGGTTATCCTTATGACTAACCCAGAAAGGAGAAAGGTCTTCAGCAGACACAGCAAGTAAGGGTGGGTGCTAAAGCTGGACCCATGGCTGTCTGACTCTCCTTTTTGCTACTTATCACACCGCCTTCAGTTTTTATAAATAGAGAAACTATGACATATTAATGCTGTTAAAACCAAGTGACTTAGAGTTCTATATTTTAATGTGGGTGCATCTGGAAAAGCCAATGATCACATGGTGGAAGAGGCAAGTTACAGAGTATGTGTATAGTTTGCCACCACTTACGTAAATTCTAAAAACCACACACAAAAAAGCACTGTATTGCCCTGGATACAGCTATTTGTTCTAGAGTTTGAAAGAGGGACTGGAGATGCCACAAATTCGTGAGAGCAGTTGCTCCTGGGGCAAGCAGAAGGGGAATAGAGTTGGGGAAGAGTACCTGGGGATCTCCTGATTTTAAGGAAAATCTGTAAACAGCGTTTGTGGATCCAATCAGTCCTTTTTGGCTGCTCACTGTGGGGAGTTCCACTCCCACCCTGCCCTCAGCTCTCTCCTGCCCTCTGCTCCCCTCCCTGTCACCTTGTTCTCATTAGCAGCTGGCAAAGGTGGCCGTTAACTTGCCTTTCCCAAGCAGTTTCCGCTTTTCCTCTCTCCCCCGAGATGAAAAAGAGAGACATAGGCAATGCTAGCCCATGGTCTTGGGGTCCAGTGTTTAGCCAGAGCACTTCACAAGAGCCTCTAGCCCAGGGCCTGGGATTCAGTTCACACTGATTGACAAGATGCACACTTGATAAGCCCAAAGGCCCTTCCCTGCCTCCTGTGGACAGAAGACATGACTATCCCTGCTCCAAGCAGCTTGTCACCTGCAAGCTCCAGGCCAGAAGGAACTGAGGGCCTGGAGGAGGTCAGGAGCAGTGTAAATGGAGGGGACTGGGAGGATTCCGGAAGCCATGGAAGTAGGATGGACTTGGCAAGGAACTGCCTGCCAGGTGAGGAAGAGAAGTGGGAGCCAGGACCAGTTTCGTGATGCTGGTGCAGGAAGAATTTCCATTCACTGGGCTTCTACACATGAGAGAAATGAGGACAACGAAAAGGGACAACAAAAACGCTGTTTACAGATTTTCCTTAAAATCAGGAGATCCCCAGGTACTCTTCCCAACTCTTCCCTTTCTGCTTGCCCCAGGAGCAACTGCTCTCATGAATTTGTGGCATCTCCAGTCCGCTCTATTTGTTCAACATAATGGAAGGTCTTCTATTCTGCAAGTTTGTCCTTCATCACCTTTGTAGTATCAAAATGATTTTTTTTCTTTATGAGATGATGGTAGAAATAGCTGATGGTTTTGGAAGTATCTCCTGTTGTCAGAAGTTGACAACCCACTGTGGGTCCTCTAAATATATGTTGGAATGTTACTGGTCCATGTGGAATTTCAGTCTAGGGACCCTGGTGTCCTTCCTGTGCCCCACTCGCCTCATCTCTATCACATGGGGACAATGACCCTCACCTTCCTGGACTGCTGGGAAGAAGAAACGGCAGCACGAACACATCAGACAAGAGCTTTGCAAAAGTGCAGCTAGCTTTCCTTTCTGAGTGTAAGGGCCGTATCCTGATAGGCCAGCCTCGGGGCGGGCTGCTCTCCCTGCTCCCTGTGTGGCCAAGAACATTGAACTTCTCTGGCTCCAGCCCTAAATCCACCCAGTTTGAGCTGTGTGACCTTGGACAAATGACATAACTGTCTTGAGTTGGTCTCAGCAGGGTTGTTACAAGATAAACTGAGATAACCAAGGCTGTAAGGCCCTGGGCATAGGGCCCTGCACTTTGTAGGCACACAATTGAGAATGCTGAGTGGAAGGCAGTGGCTACAGACCTAGAGTTACTGGGAGTCTTCGTGTTGGGGGAGCCCTGGGAGTGTGGGGTGGGCAGGCGTGTGTTTGTCCAGAGGGTGGCCCCTCCAGAAAGGCTGCCCCTCCCCTTAGGTGGGAGTGTTTGGCCAGCCCTAGCCTAGTGCTCTGGCTTCCCAGCTGTGTAATCTCAGGCAAATCATTTCACCTCTCTGCCTCAGTTTCCTCATCTGAAAAAAAAGGGATAAAGATAGTACATGTGTGATTGGCTTGCTCTGTGGACTGCCAGTGCTACTGTGGCATGCGTCTGATACAGGGTAGGTCCCAGTGAGCAGCAGTTTCCTGCCTTCCCAGGCCTCAAAACAGCAGGTGTGTGCTGGGCTTCTGTGGTCTTTCACAGCCCAGGTGCCTTGGAAGGTGCCTGTGTCATGGTACTGAGCCAAGCCCTTGTCTGGTCTCTAATTTGGTCCTTTCCTCTCCCAAGCAGCCTCCAGACCAGGTCAAAGGAAGGCCCAGCCCTTGGGGAGACACCCTAGCCGGGAGCCTGCACTCTGAGTTCTGCTCTCCCAAGCCGCAAGCGGGGAAGCTTGAGGAGGAAGTTAGTCAGAGTGAAGCTGCTCTGGGCCCCACCTGTGGTCAAGGTGTGAACTGTGCACCTGTCTCTTCTCTGCCACCCCTCCCCCTGTTTTTTTTCTTTCTTTCACACCTTTGGGCTGTGGTTTGGGGAGATGGGAGGCTCAGAGGTCTGAGCCCTGGGCCCAGTCCCTCACAGGAAGCAGGGCCTCCACAGCTGTCTGTCAGAGCAGCCAGGGAAGGGGGCCATTTCCTCCTCCTCCCTCTCAGTGTCTGCTGCCTTGCAGCCCCTCAGAATGCCTCTCGGAGCCTGCTCCCAAACCCCTGGGACTCAGCCACCAGCCCCAGGCCATCTGAGGAGCAGGCTCAGTGAGGCCCAAGCTTCTGTGGGCTGAGGCAGAACCTTTCTTTCATGAAATTAACATGAGTCCTAACCCCCAGAAGGAGCGGGGATCTGCCCCACACTATGCTGGGACTCCAAGCCTCCTTCTACTTGTCCTGAATTTCCCAAGGGAAGGAGAAGGAAGGCCCATTGGTTGGGGACCTCCCCCTCCTCTGCCCCTCTTTTTGCAGCTCTGAGCCCTACTGGGAGACAAGCCCTTTCTAAGTGCCGGGGCCATGGAGTGGGCCCAGCTAGTCCAGGCCCGTGGGGGTGAGTTCCCAAGCTATGGGGTACTCATTCTTTTGGGGACCAGGGAAGGTGGATGTTGCTGCCATTTGTCAGGTGGCAAAGGGAGACAAGGCAATTCAGGCTGTGGGACCAGCAGGTGCTAAGGCAAGGAAGTACAGAACAGCTTGTCAGCCCAGGGGCAGCCAGTCTTGTTGGAAAAGAAGGTACATGTGAGAGCAGGAGGGTAGGGGGGAGGGTTGGAGAGTAGTTCAAGACCCGAGCTCTGCCACCAAACATGATGACCTTCCTGTCTTTCTGTCCCCAGAAGGGCTGAGAAACTGCTAAATAAAAAATAGCTTTCATCCAGCAAGCCCTAACTTTCATACACTTTTAAACTCTTCAGCCACCTGGGGAGGCAGAAGGTACTGTATCCATTTTGCAGAATGGAGGTAGAAGTTCAGAGTGCTGAAGTGACTTGTCCCAGGCTACTCAGCCAGTAGGATTTCTGGCAAGATTCCTATCCAGGCTGCTTTCTAATGTGCTATACTGACTGTTGGGGTGGGAGACCCCTGTCTCACCCCCCCCCCCAACAAAAATACTGTGGCTCAAGGACTGGTTCTTTCAGGAGCCAATTCTGACTCACCACAGGGCCTAACCAGGCATCTTGTGTGAGGGCAAGTGCTCACCCAGCATTATGCCACAGCAGGAGCTTTGGTAAACCTCACCACATCCCCATCTTTCTCGCCTTGCTCCTTCCCGCTTACCAGGCAGAAGAAATGTCAGAATCTCCAGAATGAGGGGCCTGGAGGATCAAGCAAAAATCTGCCAAGCACCAGAGCCCTTTTGCAATGTCCCCAGGAGAGTTTGTAAATGCGCCCAGCCATCTCCAGCCCAGCGCAGGCTGACTCCTGCAGGCCTGACTGGGCAGCTGCTCCACCTCTGGGGTGGTGCATTTGTTCCCAGTCCACCCTGTACCTGGGACTCCATCTCAGCTCAGGCCTGCCCAGACTCTCCAGAGGTGGAGGTGGCAACATTGCCAGTGCACAAAAATCTGATTATGGAAGCCTGACCTTGATGGATTCCCAGTTGCTCCCTCAGTGAACAGGTGGAGGCTGACCCCCTGCACTGCTTAGCTGGGCCGCCCCTTGAAATGAAGTCATCATCAGGCCCAACATTCGCTTCTTGCATTCCCTTGGGTTGCCCCACGGAGTGAAGTCAAAGAGGATAATAACAGCTGATGTTTACTGATTACTTAACTATGTGCTAGGCACTACTCTAAGAGCTTTACTGGGATGAATTCATTTAATACCTACAACTATGTAGTGGCTATGGCTTATTACTATTATCATTCATTCCTATTTTACAGATGACAGAAACACAGGAAGTTTAAGGAACTTGCTCAAAGCCACACAGCCAGCAAGTGG